TCCAGCACCACAGCTCAAAGGCATCAATTCTCCTTCTATCCTCCTTGGTCATTGTCCAACTCTCTGATGCATAACAGGTGATTGCGAAGACCATGGCCTGAAAATGAGAACTGAAAGCACAAACGGAGACTCATAAACCAATATTCATAACAGCATTATTCACCACCGCAAGAACATGGAAACAGCCCAGATGTCCAACCACAAAGGAATGGATTGAGGAATTATGGCATATTCACACAACCGAATACTATGCAGCATGCAGGAGCAATGATTTTGTAAATTATTTCCTAACTTGGGAGGGACTGGAGAGCATATGCTGAGTGAACTAACTCAGTCCCACAGGGACAAATATTGTATAAAATCATTATTGTAGAATGAGTATAAGGATCCAAGGGCAGAGGGAGGGTGGAAGCAGAGGGATAAGGATGTGCAGGGGGTGGGGGGATTAATCATGGGGTTGTACAATTTGATGGGTAAGGAGTGAGGGAAATTGGAAGAATCTGTTCTGGAAAACAATGTATTCTAATTTTGTAAATAAACTAGTATAACAATAAAAAATTTTGAAAAATGAAGAATAAGCTAACTAGGAGTACTGGACAAGGTCATCGGTGCAACGTTTCTTGGGAGAGTCTGTTGCAGTGAATTAGTGATTTAACTGGTGCATCTTATTCAGAGCCTTGCACACTCTGAAGAATTGAGAGTATGCTGCGGAATGTGCTCATTGTGCGATTGGACATAAAAGTTACCATGGTTGTAAATGTAGGTGGTAGGGCAAGGGATATAGAGAGAACCAGAAGGAGGTTGAAATTTCCCAGATGTCAGTGTACACTATTTCACGGTCCAGGCATTGTATATTTAGGGTGAATAGTGCTACACTGTTTAGGCTCCATTTCTTATTCCCTCTAATCATTTTCCCTTAGGAGCTTGCTCAGGAAATTTTGGGGTGCTAAAGTTGGAAACTGGGGAACATCATCAGTAATGATGCTCGCACCGTTTATTTTCTCAATAATGTTCTGTCATTCGTCCATCCATATATCCATCCATCCATCCATCCATCCATCCATCCATCTAAAATTTCTTCCAGCAAATGTCAGCACATACAAAAAACTAGCACCATGCTTAGCACTAACTCGAAATGGCTATTTAAATCAAAAGAACCAAGCCCACTGCCTGGAGTTGATTTAGACTCACCAGTGACCTTACAAGACAGAATGGAGCTGCTCATATGACATCAAGGGGTATAACTCTTTCAGGAAGTAAACTGATCCAGCTTTATCCCTCTGACCTGTTGAAACCAAAGATCTTTTGGTTAGCAGCAGAGCTCTTTAACCACTGCACCAACACTCGTCCACTCATTCACTCTCTCATTGCTGTGGAGTAGGAACCAAGCAATATCATGATAGATGGAGAAAAGATAGAAATTGTCAGTGATTTCATTTTACTTGGATACACAGTCAACACCCTTGTACTAGCAGTCAAGAGATGAGACTTATTGCATTGGGCACGTACTCTGTCAGGGATCTCTCCAAAGTACTGAGGAGCAATGATGTTAGTCTGAAGACTAGGGTACACTAGATTCAGACCATGGTCTTCTCAATCACTTGCTATGTCTCTGAGAGCTAGACAATGAATAAAGATGGCAAAAGAAGAATGAATGTCTTTTAATTGTGGTGTCGGAGAAGAGTACCAAACATCCCACGGACTGCCAAAAGAACAAATAGATATGTCTTGGGGAAAGTGCAGCCGGAATGCTCTTTGGAAGCAAGGATGGCGAGGCTTCATCTCACATACTTTGGCCATGTTGCTGGGAGAGGCTATTCCTTGGAGAGGGACTGCATGCTTGAAAAGGTGGAGGGGTCGGCGAAGGAGGGGAAGGCCCTCAGTGAGATGGATTGACACAATGACTGCAGCAATGGCCTCAAGTGTGTCAGAGATAAGGATAGCACAGGGCAGGACAGGGTTCGGATCTGTTGTTCATAGGGTCGCTATGATTTGTACTTTACTCACATAACAACAGCAGCAACATAGCTGATGCTCCAACAGGTTTTCAGAGGTTGTGAATCACATCTTTATCTCCCACAGAAACAAGCGCATTTGAATCACCTGCTTTCAGGTTGGCAGCTCAACTCCTTACCCACTGGACCAAGAGGGCTCCGTAAAAGGGGCTTCACGCACTGCTATTGCTTAGAGTTTCTTCTCATCGGGTTTCTGAGGCTGTAAATCTAATTTATGCGAGGAGAGTTCCCATCTTTCTCCTGCAGAAAAGCCCACCTTTCCATTAGCAGCATCACCAGGGCTCCATTGAAAGGGCCCAATGGTGTGCTTCTTTCTAAGCACACATTCAGACATATCGTAGACACATAAAGGCAGACTTACTGCTTATAGCAGACAGATACCTGTCTATTCCAGGACCATTTACTGAAAGGGCTGTCATTCCTCCATTTCCCCCTTAATTACTTACCAATAGTAACTGTAGAAATTGTGAATGTATGCTAGGTTCTGCCTGTGGGCTGTTGTGTTCCAAAACCAAACCCACTGCTGTGGAGTGGGTTCCGACTCCTAACTCACTGCTGTGGAGTGGGTTCTGACTCATAACGACCCTCCATTGGGCTTGTGAGACCATAAATATGGGAGGAGAGTTCCCATCCTTCTCCCAGGGAGCAGCTAGCTAGTGGATCCAAACTGCCAACAGCAGTCTGGTGCCCTTCGGCACCACGCCACCAAGACTCCTGCGTTCTATTCTAGAGACCCGTTTTGTCTCGTGTGAATACCAGAATATTTAAATCGCCGTGGCGTTAAATACGTTTTAATATCTGATAGGGCCAGCTTCTGCGCATTGCACGTTGTTGTGTTTTTTTTCTTTTTTTTTTTTTCACTTTGGGAACATGTTCAGGCCTGCGGCGGGGGGCGGGGTCGCGCCTATTCCGCAGATCTAATTCCAGCGGAGCGTCTTGGCCGCGGAGATGGAAATCCCGAAGTTGCTCGAAGCTCGCGGGATACTAAAGTGCGGCGTTGGCGGCGGTGGCCCTGCGGGCATCCAGGTGCACAGAGAGCCTGATCCGCCGGCTGGCCAGGGGCCCGCGCGCCGCCTCCTACAATTCCGGGGCCGCCAAGATGGCGGCCCCGGGCAGCGGCGCAAACAAGCCCGCGCGACCTTACGGGGCCCAGACCCGAGTCCGCTGGCACCCAGGCCCGATCACGCTGGCGGCAGCAGTGACGTTTCTCTGGTGGTGCTGGACCCGGTGGATGGAGACGTGGAGGCCGCGCGCACCGGCCAGGCCGCGGGAACCGTGTGGAGGGAGGAGGCCGCGCCAGGCCCGAAACTTCAGGGTCCCTTGCGTGTCCTGAACCCCGTGGGCCGCCCTGAGCTGGGCTCCTACTGCGCGTCAGCAGTCCCCGTCCTGTCCCGAACCGCGATCCCCACTGCAAGGCCGGAACCAGCCACGGCCTTCTCTGGCACAATTACCATCCATAACCAAGACCTGCTGCTGCGCTTTGAAAATGGGGTTTTCACCCTGACCACGCCCCGGCCGCCCACCTGGGAGCCCAGGGTTGCTTCAGCCCGGCAGGCTGGGGATTTTCTCCTCCCACAACTGGGAGACCCGCACGCCACGCAGCACGGAGACTGCCCAGAGCTGCCGCCAGACTTCTTGCTTGCTGAGCCACCAGAGCCGGCGTCTGCTCCTGCTCCGGTGCGTGATGAGAAGGTAGAGGGCCTGGTTGCCACTGGGAGCCCCCAAGGACCACAGCACCTGAGCAGGAGCTCAAGTATGGTTCTGTATGTATGTCCCGAGATGCAGTGCGGGCAGACCTTCGCCAAGAAGCACCAACTGAAGGTGCACTTGCTGACACACAGCAGCAGCCAGGGTCAGAGACCCTTCAGGTGCCCTCTGGGTGGCTGCGGCTGGACTTTCACCACTTCATACAAGCTCAAGCGGCACCTACAGTCACACGACAAACTTCGGCCCTTTGGCTGCCCTGCGGAGGGCTGTGGCAAGAGCTTCACCACAGTGTACAATCTCAAGGCGCATATGAAAGGCCATGAGCAGGAGAACTCATTCAAATGTGAGGTATGCGAGGAGAGCTTCCCCACGCAGACCAAGCTCAGCGTTCACCAGCGCAGCCACTTTGAGCCTGAGAGGCCCTACCAGTGTGCATTTTCCGGTTGCAAGAAGACTTTTATCACAGTGAGTGCCCTGTTTTCCCATAACCGCGCCCATTTCAGGGAACAGGAACTCTTTTCCTGCTCCTTTCCTGGCTGCAACAAACAGTATGACAAGGCCTGCAGGCTGAAAATTCACCTGCGAAGCCACACTGGTGAGAGACCTTTCCTTTGTGACTTTGATGGCTGTGGCTGGAACTTCACCAGCATGTCCAAACTCTTGAGGCACAAAAGGAAACACGAAGATGACCGGAGGTTCACGTGCCCTGTGGAAGGCTGTGGGAAATCTTTCACCAGGGCTGAGCACCTGAAAGGTCACAGCATTACCCACTTAGGCACAAAGCCTTTTGTGTGCCCCGTGGAAGGTTGCTGTGCCAGGTTCTCTGCTCGCAGTAGTCTCTATATTCACTCCAAGAAACACCTGCAGGATGTAGACTCTTGGAAAAGCCGTTGCCCAGTCTCCACTTGTAATAAACTCTTCACATCCAAACACAGTATGAAGACCCACATGGCCAAAAGGCACACCCTAGGCCAGGATCTCATAGCTCAGCTAGAAGCTGGGAATTCTCTTACACCCAGCAGTGAGCTTACCAGCCAGGGACAGAACGAGCTCAGTGATGCTGACATAGTATCTCTCTTCTCTGATGTGCCTGGCAGTAGTTCTGCAGCAATGCTGGACTCAGCCTTGGTGAGCTCTGGAATCTTGACTATTGATGTGGCTTCTATGAGTTCAACTCTGACAGAGAATCTCCCTCGTAATCACAGTAATACCTTAGCACAGGCTCTGGACCCTCGGACTTTGATAGGCACCAGTGACCTCCCTCAAAATCCGGATACCTCTCTCTTTTTCGGAGCAGTGGCTGGAGGTTTTCTGCAGAGCACCTTAGATATGGATGAAGTTCCAGGTAAAAGTGCAGGGCCGCTGGGAGCTCTGGGCTCTTTGGCTCTAAAGAATTCTAGTCAAGAGATCCAAACTCTGACCCCTAGCAGTAAGTTAACAGTGGACACAGATATTCTCACTCATTCAACCACTCTTTGTGACAACAGTGTCTCAGAACTGCTGATGCCAACCAAAGCAGAATGGAACATACATCCTGCCACAGACTTCTTTGAACAGGAGGAAGAACCCCCTTTTGGATTCTCTAGTCCAGAAGGAAACCATGATTCTCAGAAAGAAACAGATCTCATCACAGTGACTGGCAGCTCATTTTTGGCATGAACTATGTATTACATTCATCATCCCATGGCTTACATCTATTACACTCAGTTTTGAGAATATTCTGGACTTAAGTGTGGTAATTTCTAATTGAGTTTCAAGTAAATAGTTCGGGGGACTAAGTATTTTAGATATCAATTTTCACTATGGATTATAAGGTGGATATTTAAATTCTGATCTTGGGTCTGGAACTGACAAGTTTTTTTACCTTGAGCATGTCACTTAATCTCTCTGAGCATTCGTTTCTTTCTTTATAAAATGAGGAGGTTTTCCTAGATAGTTTTTGGGGTCCTTTTCCATGGTCCCATGATAATGTATTTCTCCCTTTGGATCTATGACTTTTTGCAGTGATGGTGAAGCACATGGATTTTTGTTCTCACAAGTATTTCAAAGAAAATCTACACCCAACTTTGACAGTTATCAATTCATGAGCCGTCTTTTTTTTAGCTATTTCACCCTCCTCCAGAAGTATTTCAAAACAAATCCCAGATATCACATTTATGTAAATTCATAATTTATATTTCTATGAGTTGTATAAACCTACAATTATAGCATCACATTTAAATATAAACAGTAACAGTAATCCCAAGTATCAATAAATATTTAAATCCAGGTTTAAATTTTTAATTTTTTCATAAATACCTTTTGTTTGGATAATCATGATATTTATGAATCTCTTAAGTGCTTTTTAACCTATATGATCCTCTTTCATCTTTTTTTTTTTTTACTTTTATGTGTGTTTCCTTTTGTAGCATTTGTGATCATATCCCTCCTGTGGTGTGTTTCTCTATCTCCTCAAATTGGTATTTGGATCTAGTAGATTGATAAAATTGAATTAAGATTGTTGAGGAAAAGAATTATTCATAGTTGTGCTCTTTTATTCGGTTGCACACAATGTCTGATTTTCTCCTTTTTGTGATATTAGCAGCTAATGATGATTCATAATTACCTGTGCTTCTGATGTGAATTATCCCTATAGAGTTACCAATCTTCAGGGCGTAAGGAAGTGCTGTATAAAGTATTTATTAAAGTTTAATGAAAATATTCATCATTGCCACATTTTCGTTTTTTAGAATTTTTAACATTTATGAAAATCCAGATTTAAAATGGTCTTTCAGTCTTTCCAAGTTTTCCTTTTTTACCAAAACAAAAGACATGTAAGGACTTTGCCCACTGTCATTCCCACAGATGGATGATTTTTAGGCAGTCTCCCCTACTCTCCCATGAAATATTTTCTTAAATAATAGTAGCTCTAACAAGGTAAGTGGAAGATAACTTTAAAAAAATATTTTGGTTTATTTTCATTGTCTATTTTTCTAGTGACTTTTGATGATGAGGGCTTTGGTTGTTTTGTAGAAAATGCCAGACAGTACTTTCCATATGAAACAGACCTGGAGTCAAATTTTAGCTCTGTAGTGTTGGATAATGGAGCTCCGGTGGCCTACTGGCAAGAAGCTGTGCTGCAATCCCAAAATCTCTTGGTTTGAGGCCACCAGCTACTCCACGGGAGAAGGATGGGAAATCGCTTCCCATGTGATTAACTGCCTCTGAAAACCTGACTTTATGGCACACAACAACAATGTTGGATAAGTGACCTTTGAATAAATTACTTTCCCCAAGTTTCCATTTTCTAGCAGTTGAATGCTTACAGAAGTACATACATTTGCCTAGCACACCTTAGAATTTTCTTATTTTCCAGTTTTTTATGTTTAGGGGGAAATGTGTTTTGGCATACTTTCATGAATTCATATCATATTTTTACCTTCACAGTCCTTTCTTCTGTAAGGGAGAAATTAAGATTGCCTTATTTTGTTTATATACAGATAATAAATGTTTGTGAAATGAGAAAGTAGAACTATTTTTTTTCTCCTCTGACTTAATTTCTTCCTCCTGAAAAAAATTACTGTGATGTAGTTCCAGGAATACAGATGTTGTCCATAAGTATATCTGCATACCTGTCCGTTTTAAGAGTTTTTTTATACATCTTGGCTCAGCTTTCAGTCTGACTTTACTGTAACTATGGTGCCTGATTTTATGAAAATCTTTGATAATGTAGCAGAGTATAAGTTTCCTCCCCTCTTATATTCTCCTCGTGGCCTATTAAAATTATAACCTTTGCTGAATGTGCACCATGGATCTGTGTGTACAGTAAGTTATTTTCTGAGTTTACCTCATCTTTTGTGTGTATATAACTCAGATGATAAGAGATTATTTTACATTTTGTTCATATGGCAAGTGGATTTTGAAAAAAATTTGCCAAGAAATTCTGATAATACTTGGTTATTTGCTTTAAAAAGTACTGGTCTAGTAGTGTTTGCCTGTGGATGTCTGTGGATAATAGCTGTTGTAAAATTTTGGCAGTGCACTAAAACTTTTCCACTTTGAAATGGTTTTGCAAGATGTGTGCATATAGGTATAAATACATACACCAACAGACATATTTTTACCTGTATTCATTCAGTGAAAAAGCAAAAAGTTGATATAGATCTGTAAATGTAAGAAATGCTTAAAATTTCATTGTGTCTGCCTACTCAATGCTTTTTCTTCTTCTCTTTGGAAATACCTGGGCTCAAAAAATTGCATTTCAAAATTACATTGTTATTCATTGAGGCCTTTTAACGAAGCCATTATTTTTTGTGTCCTCCAGAAAGTATGTCAAGGATTGAGATTAATATACAAGTTTCAGACATAAAATAAATTATTTAAATATTAAGATGATTTAATACTTGCGACTTTATTTAATCCCTTGCATAAGCTTCCTTCCATTGGGGTTGGGTGGAACAAACCCACGTAAACTGTGTAATTTCCTACTTGTTCCTGGAATTTTAACTGTTAACTGTTAATTTTTAATGTTAACTGTTTTCAAAGATAAAACCTTTTATTTGCTCTTAGGCTAATAGTTTCATTGGGAAAAACTTGTTTAACTTATATTTCTTAATACAATAATGGAGAACAGCTTTATACTTCCAAGGTAAGAAATTGAACTTCTGTTAACAAAGAGTTGGCCTCTTTTCTTTTAAATAATGATCTGTATTTGCCTTCCATCTGGTTCCTTCTGCTTCTGCTCAGTCACTGTTTTACTTATTTTAAATCTTAGCAGGTTAAAACATAATGCCTTAAAAGAAAGTCTGCTTCTGAAGCTCTGTTACTTAGTTTGGTTATGAGTTTAAAATATATTAACCTTGACATTTTTACCAGTTAGTGTAATTAACATCTATAAAAAACTTGAGTAGTTAGAATGGAACATACTGAAGTTTTTTTGTCTCTGTAACCTAAACTCTTCATGATCTTATCTAGGAAACATGAGAAGACAATTTATTAGCTGATAGTTCCACTATATTTGATTCAAATTAATAAATATTCCTTGAAATTGTTAAGCAAAATGCAGCATACAGTATTTTATGAAGAGTATCTTATGAGGATTTTATGGGAAGAGAACTGTGCAACCCTGACTTTGAAAGAAATCAAAGTTCAGGAGAAGAATTATAAAAATACATAATACTCAGTTGGAGAACAACTGCAAAAAGTCATTAATTTGTTACCAAAATGGTTTGGAGATAACAAAACCAGAATAATGGGAAGTTTATTCTAAGCACAGTGATAAAAGAGTCAGATAATGAAAATATTGTTTTAGAGAAGTTAACATTTGGACTATATAGGACTATGTACTCAGATAGGTGAATCAGTAAGAAAACTGTTTAGCCATCCAGATGTGCTCTCATAAAGCATGAAGCTTAGACTAGGGTAATGTTAATGAGAATGAACAACATGAGATAGGTATTTGAAATATTTTCAAATTAAGGATGGATTGTTTTTAGTGTCATATTAAGTATATATATGTGTATATACACTATACACACATATATTTGTGTATACATATATGTCATAGGAGAAAAAATCAAGAATGATAACTTGAGTTAATTTTGTGGACTTTTGAAGAATGAGTATAAAAATGGCATTTTTACTTAAATGAAAATTGATTGAGCATAGTTACTCCTACATAAAATATCCATATTGTGGTTTATCTGCCTTCTACAAGAAAGCAGAGGTTCATTAATACCTTGAATACATTCCATGGATTGAATGTGACTTCATAGCTGTACTTTAATTCTATTAAAATATTTCTCAATTAAAAAAAGAAAAAGCAGAGGTTCCATCCTCCTTCTTGTTCCCTGAGGCTTTTTTAGAACTAAACTTCTAATCTTTGAATTACCAGAAATCTCCTTCCTTTGCTAGATCTTTGTCTGATATGGTAGTTACTAGTCACACATAAGGGAACTCTGTTAGCCTAATAAGAAGCTGTGCTGCAATCCCAAAGGCCTGCAGTTCAAATCCATCAGCTACTTCATGGGAGAAGAATGGACAATCTCCTGTGCTACTTCTTGCCAGAGGATCAACTAAGAGTTTGTTCCAACTTGATGGTACACAACAACAGTCACACATAGCTGTTGAGCACTTAAAATGTGGTTAGTATAAATAAAGTACTCAATTTTTAATTTTATTTACTTACATTTTTTAACTGAAACCAATATAAAATAATTAGTCTGTTTTGGCAGAATTAAATTTCAGTTTAATCACTGAATAGTGAGTACCAAATTAGGATGTGCTGTAAATGTAAAATAAAAACTAGGTGTTGATGACTTTGTGAAAAAATCCATTAGCAGGGTATATTGATTACATGTTGAATAATATTTTGGATATATCTTGAAAAGCATTGAGGACTCTCCTTCATAGGGTCGCTATGAGTACTCTGCGACTCGATGTTACTTAACAATAATAACATCAACATAGAGAGAGATCAGTTGGCCCAGTGGACAGAAAGCGATGCTACCAAGCCAAAGGTGGGTGACTTTTAATACGAGGCCCTCGGGCCTGTCTTTCATTGTTTTTGTTCAAACATTCCTCTAGGTCGTATAGCCCTGGTGTGTCCACTTGCCGTACAGCAGTAACTTGTGCTTGATGTGAGGCTGAAACTGTGACATTGATGTGTCAAATGC